GGCTGGAGTGCAGTGGCATGATCAAAGCTCACTGTAACCTCAAACTCCTGGGCTCAAGGGATCCTCCTGCCTCAGCCCCCCAAGTAGCTGGGACTACAGGCATGTGCCACCATGCCCGACTAATTTCTTAACTTTTTTCTAGAGATGGGGTCTCACTATGTTGCCCAGGCTGGTCTCCAACTCCTGGCCTCAAGCAATTCCCCATCCCCCACCCTACCTCTGCCTCTGCAATTGCTAAGATCACAGGTGTAAGCCACTATGCCCAGCTAAAAACTGTAATTTTTAATAGGCATTATAGTCACATGATAACAAAATTCTAAAGGTATAAAAAGTCATACAGTAAAAGTTTCCCTCCCACTCTGTGCCCCAGCTTCCCAGTTCTCCACCCCAGAGGCAGCCAATATACCAGTTTCTTGTGTAACTTTCCAGAGAAATTCCATAAATCCACAGCAAATAGGTGTATATTGGAAGAACATTTTATAATAAAAACTTGCCTCTACTTTCTATACTCTTTACCTGTTAATTCTTTTTCTTGTCCTACTGCATTGGCTAATACCTCCAAAATGGTGATGAACAAAATGAGTGCTATAGGATACCTCTGTCTTACTCTCGACTTGAGTGAAATGCCTCTTGCCAAAGTTTTTCTTTTTGAGACAGGGTCTCACTGTGTTACGCAGGCTGGTCTTGCACTCCTGGACTCAAGCAATCCCCCCACCTTAGCATCCTGAGTAGTGGCATTACAGGGACGTGGCACCATGCCCAGCTCAAATAGTTTTTTTTGTATAGTTTTTTCCTGAAGATATTTATCTATGCTGGCCCAGCTTCTTTCCTTGAAGCCATCCCTGGGACTGAGAGGATGGCCCCTCTTCCCTCTGGATCCCCTAATCTTTAACCTTTGATTCCCTAATTGGGTACTGCCTGGTCCCGTTCTCTGCCCATGACCCAGTCTCTTACCTGGCCCTGGAGTCTGTCCTGTAAAGAACCATTTGCCATGTAGGGGTAGATCAAGCTGTGAAACCGTCTTCCAGCACAGAAGCCCAGCACAGGTAAGATGTTCAGGTGGCAGCATCTGAAATCAGGTATCAGTGCAGGGGTGAGAAGTCAGACAGAATAATCAAAGATTTATCCATTAATACTTCCTCATCTCCCACCTTCTTCCGCCCTCTCCACCCCAAAGTCACCAGTAACCTCCCAGGTACCATATGCTCTGACCCCTAAGGGCCTGGCACCAGGGTAGAAAGATGTAAACTGCCTGCCTTTGAGGAGCTGGAAATCTAGTGATCCTCATCCTGCTTTACTGCTCTGCGGCATATGACACCTCAACCACCTCATCTCTGGAAATAAGAGGCTTAGAGGTTACGAAATTTGCCCAAGGTCACAGACTAGCAAACGGTGAAGCCAGGACTGGATCCCAGGTCTATCTGACTCCAGGACTGGGGTCCTTCTCTAAAATCCTCTTCCACTGGGTTCTGAATCCCCATTCCCTCCTGATTCTCCTCCCACCTCTCTGACCACTCTTCCTTGGCCTTTTCCACTAAGATCCTCCTCCTTTGCCTTCCTCCTCTCGGCCAGCTGGGCCCCTCATCTGGTTGGATATGCTGTTCCTCCAGACACCTCCCACTGCTACGAGGAACACTCCCAGATCCCCTCTCCAGCCCCATCCTAAGCTCCAGGCTTCACTGTCTAATTACATTCCAATGCTCAGGTGAACATCAGCCTACACTCAAGCCCCAAACCTGCTTCTCCATCCATATTTACCACCCCAGTGAAGGCACCATCACCCACCCACACCATTCACTGTGATAAATAGCTTTCAACATGTCCCTTTCATTCCCCTCTCCTCTACCTTGGCCCAGACTATGATCCAGTCTCCCCAGGACTATTGTAAATGGCCTCCTGTCTGATCTCTCTGCCCTCCGCCACTTCCCCCAAGCCATCCTATTATGCGCATTAGAATCATTTACACATCCGTCTCCGCACTGCACCGTAAACTTCTCAAAGGCAGGGGCCTGTGTATGCTACAAGTTTGCGCTGGCTAGACCCTTGGAAAGGGCTTGCCTACTCATGTTTTCTGAATCGTCGAATGAAGGAGTGACTGCTGACTCTAGGAAGGGACCATGCCAAATGGAAAGGGAATTATACTTCCAGTTTTCATTAAATGTGTATGTGCACGTGTGTATTCCTACACATGTATGAATAGAGAAAGCATTAAAGAAAATATATCAAAATGTTAACACACTCGTGGTTATTTATAGGTGCTGTGGAAAATAGGTAATTTCTATTTTCTTTTTTTGTATTTATTTTTTATTTCAGAATATTAGGGGGGTATAAACATTTTGGTTATATTAATTGCTTTTGTACTGTTTGGGTCAAAGTTGTAAGTGTGCCCATCCCCAAGATAGTGTGAACTGTACCCACTAGGTGTGATTTACCCATCCCCTTCTCCCCCCTCCCACCTGCTTGATTTCCGATGAGTGTTATTTCCATACATGCACATTAAGTGTTGATTGATTAGTTCCAATTTAATGGTGAATATATGTGGTGTTTATTTTTCCATTCTTTTGATACTTCACTTAGAAGAATGGTCTCCAGTTCCATCCAGGTTAATATAAGAGGTATGAGTTCACCATTGTTTTTTGTGGCTGAATAGAACTCCGTGGTATACATATACCACATTTTATTAATCCACTCTTGTATTGATGGGCACTTGGATCGTTTCCACATCTTTGCGATTGTGAATTGTGCTGCTATAAACATTCAAGTGCATATTTTCTTATTTATAATTTTATTTCTTAAAATACTCCACATAAATTATGCATTCCTTTACCACGGTTGCGTATTGGCGGAGGGAACCTACACAGTGACTCGCCAAGGATAAACAACAGCTGGTGTCTAGCACGTGATGGGTGCCCAATAGGCATTTAAGTTCATGGGTCAATAATGGCAGAGCCAGGACAGACCCCAGGTCTCTAAACAGTCCTTCCCTTCTCTTTCCAAGTCCCCACCCAGCTCTGTGACTAGGAGGCTCACTTCTCTGGTCTCAGTTTCCCCATATGTAAAATGAACACATTTGAGGATAACTTTGGAGGCTTTTATCACTCTAGACCATGTGTCGGCAAACTTTTTCTACAAACAAATAGTAGTAAATATTTCAGACTTTGTAGGCCAGACAGTCTCTGTTGTCACTACTCAACTGTGCGCTGTAACACAAAAGCAGCCACACGTGATACAGAAATGAATGAGCACAGCTGTGTTCTGATAAAGCTTTATTACAGACACTGAAATTTGAATTTCATATAATTTTCGTATGTCATAGAGTATTCTTCTACTTTTGATCTTTTTCTTTCAACCATTTAAAAATGTAAAAACCATTCTTAGCTCTCCGACTACACAAACACAGGTGGGGCCAGATGTAGTCCATGGGTCCTCGTTTGCCCACCCCTGCGCTAGGATGCCACGATTTTAAGATGGATTCACCCTTAGAGTTGGTATCGTAAGTCTCTGGCTACCTCAAAAAATGGGATACAAACATCTGTGGAATGTTTTCCATGGAAGGAAGGAGTTGGAGTGAGCCAAGATTCCTTCATAATTCTAATCTATACATATAATTGCTACATAGAAAAAGCATGGACTCTGGAGCCAGACCATGAAGGTCCAAATCCCAGCTCTGCTACTTACTAGCTGTGTGGGATGAGACACGTAACCTCTCTGTGCTTCAATTTACCCATCTGTAAAATAATGTGGTAATAGTAGCTATGTTACAGAGTTCTTGTGAGGATTAAATGAGTTTATACATAATAGAGTGCTTAAAACAGGCCTGGCACATAGGAAGCGCTATGTAAGGGGAGATGTGTCATTACTGTTAATATCAAACAAAGTATTTTCCAAAAGGGAGGCTTACCTACGACAAACTTGTACCTCTGCCTGGAAGAATCTTTGAATTGATCCTGGACTTGAGCAGGCTGTCTGTGGAGGAAGACATTGGAACGTGAAGACCCAGCCTCACCCACGCAGCTCCACCCCTTACTAGAAACCGGAAGTGCTTGCCTCTCTGAGCTTCTTGAAGATGAGTGGCGTCCCGTGCCTTTGCCCTCTGTAGACGTCAGCAAAGGTCCCCTCGCTTATTCTGTGGTTTTGATTGAAGTCATCAGTTGCCTGAACCACGTCTGCCTCACTCCAGAAAAGGCTGTCTCCAGCCAAGCTCAAAAGCTCTTCCTGCTTAGGAATGGAGGTGCTGCAATCCTGGGAATTCAGAGAGGAGACGGGATGAGTACGCAAGTGCCTTTTCCCTGCCACCTCGGAGGATCTTGGAACACCAGAGCTGAAGCGGTGGAGATCATCTTATCCAGTGGGGAGTTAAAAAAAAAGAAAACACGGACAGGACCAAGGTCGAATCCCAACTCTGCCCCTAACTTGCTCTGTGACCTTGGGTGAGTTACTTACCCTCTCTGAGCCTCAATTTCCTCGTCAGCAAAAATGTAGATAAAATAGTACCCTGGAGGGTAATTTTGAAAATTAAATAAGATGCAAGTATTCCTGGCACAGGGTTGATGTTTCCTTTTCTTCAGGTCACAGAGGTAAGCAGAGAGAGGATAAAGGAACTGAAGTGAGGTCACCCTGCTGGTCACTGGGCCAGGCTTGGTGCTCTCAGTCCAACACACAGCATATACGCTGGGCCTCTGGAGCCCTGGGACGTAGGATACAGGTTCACACAGCCAAACACAACTCCATAAACAGAGCTTCCAAGATTGCATGTGTAGATAAGCCTATAAAACGAAGCTGCGCTTCCCTTTTTAAAAACAGTGTCCATGAATTTAATTTTTTAAAAATTATATATGCTTATAGTAACAGTTTTAGAAAACTGGGGGTGGGGTTGGGAATTATCCATAATCCCATCATCTACTTAGTTGCTATTAAAGTTGATATTAATTAGACGTTAATATATTAGGATTTTTTTTACAAAATTGGGAACATGCTGCGCATAGTTTTGATTTCTGGTGTTTTCACTTAACTAATATCATGATCATTCTCCCAAGTTATTAAATCATCTTGGAAAATGATTAATTATTAAAAACAAAAGAAAACTCTGCTTAAGAGAGAATCTCCTTTCTTAACCAGACCCATGCAAGGCTGGCTTCTCCCCCAGACACCAGACGCGAAGTGTCTTGGGCTCAGAACACTTTAGGGGCCGTGAAAACATTTTAATTTCTTTAAAAATCAGAAGAAAATACATAATGTTCTCATCTTTAATCTAGCTTGGATTATATTTATCTTCATACCAATGCACTCATAAGATATAATTTTGTTTTTGTTTTGTTTTTAAATAAAAGAAGGGCCCATGAAGGCAAAAGTGCCTAAAACCCATGGAAGTCACAATGCATCCCTGGCCCCAAGTCATTCAACATTCAGATGACTCAGACTGAGTTATGCAACCCAGGATAACTGGGTTGGAAAAGGGTTGCGGGGAGGGAGGTTGTGAGCCAACGGCTACGTTAACCAATATATTTGGGCTTGAGGGATGCCCGTCATCAGCTCAGCTCTCATTAAGCACAAATAATGGAAAAGCTCATTCACTGAAGTACACTCCCCCCAGCCCCAGTTTTGCTGACCGCCTACATTTATAGTCTTAGCAGCTCAGAGTAATTTGATGGGTCTCCTTTCCCCTCCCCATCCCTCAACTGGTCTCAAGGAATAAAGAAATTGCATTTTTGAGAGGGAGCCACAAGCCGGGGGATATGGCTTGGGGACGGAAGCAGAGGGGTGGATTTACCTTTGAGTCCGATGAAGCGGGGAGGTCAGTTTTTAAGGAATGAGGGGCATCTTCTTCAGAAGGAGGCAGTAGAAAGGCCTGCTGGTGGCCTCTGGCTGGAGCAGACTCTGGAAGGGAGGGACTGTGGGTCAGGATGTGGCCTGAGGGAGGAGGGCCAGGGGCTCCCTGTCTAGTCCCCAGACCATGTCACTCTCTCATTCGCCCCCAAACACATACAGCTGCCACTTCCTGATACCCACCATGCGTCGGCCAACACACTGCTCAGGTAAGCCCTGTGACCTCATTTAAGCCTTGGGACAACCCTATGGTCCTATTTACCATCCCATTTGACGGGTGGAGACACAGAGCCACTGGAGGTAGAGCCACTGCCCAGGAGCACATAGCCAGGAAGTGGCAGAGCTGGAATTCAAATGGAATCAGTTTGACTTCTGACCCCTGCTCTTTCCCACCTTCCAAAGAGCAGTGAAGGACACAGAGGTCAACTAGCTACTGAGCCCGCCTTCCAGAAACCTCTGCTGTGGCAGGGATGACGATAACCATCCTCCAAGGACATATTCCATGGGAAAGCAAGGTCAGAGGCAGGAGAGGCCATAGCAGGTTGGGAGATAAGGAGGGTTCACAGAGGAAGTAGCACTCGACCTAGGCTTGAAAGATGGGGAAACATTTTCAATAAGCACATATGGGGTAGGAGGGATTGAAGCAGTGGAATGAGTCTGTGCAGAGGTCGGGCAGCGGAAGGGCCCAGGAGTGCAGTAAATAAATATATAGGCACGTTTAATCAGCAAACACATCATGCCAGGCAGTGTTCTAAATCATCTAATGCTCACAGCAATCCTAGGGGATAAGCTCCCATTAGACCATTATCGTTTCCTCTTTACGGATGGTGAAATGAGGCACAGAGAGGTTAAGTAGCTTTTCTAAGGGCACACAGCCAGTGGCTCCAGAATCCATGTTCTTAATTCCTTAGTAAGTGAAGAAGATTCAAGAGAGAGGCAGCTTGAGGAGTAGTTTAGGGTCAGGTAAATGTTAGGTTGAAGAGGGCGAAATTTTTTCACCAGGCACCACATGAAGACTAATCTGAAGACTAACTAGGCAATCCGAGGTCTGCCGAATGAAAGAAGGTGCAGGCTGGGGTGAGATGGGCCATGGTGACTGGTCCACATGGAAGCAGGCCTTAGCCAGAGGCCAGAAGTATCAGAGTTATCATCTGGAAATACTCAGGGGACTCCATGGCAGGGATGGCTTTTAAGTAATTGGGGACCTGCCCTTGACCCCGGAGCTATTGGAAAAATCTACCTGCTTCAGGTATTTCTGACTTACAAGATCAGGAAAGGAGTAATTAATCTGGAACTTTAACCATAGAACATCAATTCGGGAGACTGGAAACAGCACCGTGGCCAAAGTAGAATCAGCCTTGCTAAACTATTAACCCAGGCAAGTAGCTGGTAAAAATAAAACCTGCCTGACAGCAGGCCTGAGGCAGGTCGAGGGCTGTCCTAAGCCTCCTCTCCTAGATCTTGCCCTGCTGCTTCTTGAGTCTCGGCAGCCGTGAGGATGCGAGCTGTGGCCCCGAGCTGCTGTGGCTCTGACCCTTGCCTGCGTCTGCATCCAGGCCACACTTCCCGGGCTGCTCCCCCGGGCATTGTGTGCAGAGGGGATACCGAGGAAGCCAGCTCTGGGGAGACACGGGACTCTGACGGCTGACACCCTGGCGAGCTTGTCCGCGCTGCAGGCAGGCTAGGACGCTCCCACCCAGCCTTGCTGGGGTCAAGTGTGCGTCGCGGTCCGAAGGCTCTCCTAGCCTTGCCTGGCTCCCTCCCCTCGTTTTCTCTCAGTATTTGTCCTAATGAAATCCTGTCTTGTTGAAGACAGGTGTCTGCTTCTCAGGGCACCTGGACTAACGCTGGCCTCAGCTGGCCGGCGCAGGGTCCCTGTCCTGCAGAAAGGCTGCTCCACAACGGCCTCCTCTGCCCTTGCCCTGCCTTGTCTTGGTCTCAGCTCAGTACCCTTGGCCTGAGTCTCCAAAACTGAGCTCACGTACATCCTGTCTCCAAGCTGCTGGCCACGTCTCTGTGCCACGTCACTATGAGTTCACTGATGGCTTTCTTTCAATCAACTTTAATTCACATGTTACGTATCTAGCCTTGTGTTAAACAGCAATATCCACGAAACCTCTAGGTTTTGTGCACATGATCTATACTTGTCCTAACCAGGTTCCATGCACTACTGGGGGTGCAGGCCCCAGTCTCTGGGATCCCCTGCTCCAGGCCAACTTGAATTCCATCCTGCTGTTTTCCTGAGTTCTGCCCCCTCTGTGCTACCTGCCCCCATGCCCGGCCACACGGCAGGGCTCTCGCTACACACAGGGTCCCTTTGCCCAGTGACTGCAAGGTCAGAGCTGGCCTCACACGAGCCATGATTTTCTGGTCTGACTTGATGCCTGGGGTTTGCACAGGAGGCTGCACTAGGCCTCTGGGTCTGGGGGGATCGCTGACATCGGCTCCTGTGACATAGGAGGGCTACGAGTTGGGAAAGTGGCTGAGTCTATTTATCCTGGTGGTTTAGAGAAAAAAAGAATGGGATTTGGGCTGATACCCAAGGATGGCAAATCAGACAGGAACCGCTAGCCCTTCCTCCTCATCTCTTCTCAGCCTTCCCTGGCCTCCTCCGAGATCTAATCTAACCAGCTCTTCATGTGCAGGGGTGGCATATTTGGTGGGAGAAGCTCAGAATGACAATCTTTAAAGACCCCTACTATATGCCCCAGGGGCAGGCAGAAGAGAACAAGAGGGAATTCTCCTGCCATCAAGGATACAAACATGTCCCTGGGATTTAGTGCAAAGTAATCAGAAGTTGGCCTTGAGTTGATCATCACTGAAGCCAGCTGATGGGGACACAGAGGGTCATTATGCCCTTTGCTTTGGTATGTTTTCAACTTTCCATATGAAAATGTTTTAAAATCATCATCTAAGGGAGGGGTGGGAAATGGGTCAGGAGAGCAGATGAAGCAAGATGGGCCATGTGTCGATACTTGACGGATACATGGGGCTTCTACATAAATCTTATTTTCCAAAACGCTGAGTTAACCCTTTGTGTGCCAGAACTTTACTGAAAAAATCTTATTTCCTATGGAAACCTTTCTAGAATGTCTGCTTTCCTAAGCAGACCGCACCGAATCTCGTCCTGCCGAGTTGTGTCACTGCAGCATGCGCACGGTAGACGCAGCGGCGCTGCATCGGATGTGGGGTTCTCCGTATCCTGCCCTGTTGCTGGTAGTGGGTCGGCCCCACGGCTTCCCCATCTCCTTTAGTGGTATCAGCACTCGGCTAAGTCCTGGCTCCGTCATTACTGAAGATTTGGCCTCGGGTGTGCTTCCTTTCTTTGAGCTTTCTCAAACATAAAAAGAGCAGTAATAGTCCGTTCTTTGCACAGCTCTTGTCCAGACTGAAAGAGAGGATGTTTATGAAGCACAAGTACCAGGCCCTGGCGCATACGGAGTACTCACTACTCTACCCAGGCCGGTAAAACCGTGCGCAGAGTGAGAATACAAACAGATGCCAATCGACGGCCCAACGGCCTCTCCTACCTAAGGCTTCGCGACGGTCATTTCAGCTACTCAAAGCCCTCTTAGTAACATCCGAATTCCTGCTGTGTGAATCTGCCCCTGGCTCCTCTGCTCACCTTTTTCCCTCTCCGTGTCTCTTCCCACTTCCTGCCCATCTACTGCAGGAGGGGTCAGGACATCAGAGGGGTCAAGGCGTGGGCTCTGCGTCCTCCATGCCCACAAAAATCCTTCAAGATAATCGATCAGTTTGAACTTTGGGGCCCAAGGGAACCTTGGGGTTTTCCCAAGAGAAGGCGGGCTGTGGGTGGTTGATGAAGCGAACGATTACTTTCTCACTTGCAGTTTGGGCAAAGACAGACTCTTGTCTCTGTCTGCAGACTGTGGTCATCATCTCCACACGCTTAGGCACAGCCACTCCCAAAGGCCATTCGAGAAAGTAAACAGTGCAAAGGCTGACAGAGACATGTGACACTGGTTTTTACAGTGACCTAGTTGAGGAACATCAGAGGAAACTGCTACGCCGGTTACCTTCTCCACGCTGACCGGCACTCCCCTAGAATTTCCCTAGTTTATTATCATTTTTCCCTTTGGCCATGAACCACTATCACATTTGCTTTAGGACCGTTTCCCCTATCTTTAATTGTCGATCAAAGGTCTGTGCCTTTTTTTTATCTTTAGCTACGGGAAATAATCCAGACACCTTGGCCTGAAGTTACGTTTCCAGATTCAGCCTCTCTGGGGAGTCTGGAATGTTCCTCTCCTCAGCTAACATTTGATGAGCGCTGCCACGGCAGCCACACTGAGGCGTACGATTCCTCACCACAACAGGATGAAATGCTGCTGTTATTATCCTCATTTCATGAAATGAAGAAACTGCGGCACAGTGAGGCTAATTCTGCTAGAAAGCGGCACAGTTGGGATTTCAATACAGGCCTGTCTAACGCCAAAGCCCACAGTACTACCGTCCTCTCGGCAGCGCTGGCCCTGACTTCTCAACCTGCACCAGTGAGCTGAGGTCACGTGGATTTGGGATCTTCGGCTCAGCACTCGGGAGGCTGCGGGGGCGCCGAAGCGAGGGTTGGCTCCGGGGGCCAGGTGGTGAGGACAGACAGGGCTGAGGAGCAGCTCCCCTGAGGAAGTTAGCCCTGGCTGAGTCCTTCTGTCATCTGGCAAGCTGGCCCCGAGCCCTCACCTGAGCACAAGGGGATGGAGACAGACCTGAAGTGGTCTGAAAGGCTTTGGGATAGCAGTCAGTGCAGTGGTTAGGGGCATGTGCATACAAATCACACAGCTCAGATGCCACCTCCTACTCGTGTGGCCTTAAACAAATCACTCTCTCTCTGGGCTTCAGGTGCCCGAGGACAAAGCAGCAGACCTGTGACTGACAGAGGCAAGGAAAGTGATGGGGCAGGCGGCACCCCTCGACTCCCATTGCTTGGCTGCGAGGGCTGGGGCTGTGGAGAGCAGGCAGAGAGAAGGGCAGGCACCTGGCCTGAGCCCACATGCAAGGCCAGCCTGTGCTGGGGGCTTGGGAGACCACAGGTGAAACACGGGCCCAGCAGCATATGACCTTGGCCAGGTTGTTTATCCCTTCTGTGCTTCAGTTTTCTCATCTGTAAAATGGGCACAATAACGGTACCTAACTCACGCAGGTAGCTGAAAGTTAAGTAAGTCAGCATCTTTGAAGTACAGTACTTAGAATAGTGTCTGACACCTAGAAAGCTCTCAATTACTGAGTTGTTTTCTTTTGCCAAAAATGGTAATAGATGGCATATATTCTTTTGTTTCCTGGCTTTCTCCACTTTTCCAACTCACTACCTTGTGAAAATGTTTCCATGTACAGATGCACATCTACATCATGTCATTAATTTTACCATCTCCTATGTGGTTTCTAATTTTTTGCTTATATGCTGAGCTGAATATCCTTAGAGATAAATCTTCATTTCCTTAAATAAATTTGCTTTAAGTAGAAAAATTAAATTAAGTTCAAAATACCTGGGCCCGGAAAAGGGACTGGCCTCACAGGCTGTTCTTCTTCCTGCATATTCTGGGTAGTTCTAATAGAAGCTGCCAAAGGCCTTCCCGGCTTCACAGCATCCGGGAAGCCTGGAGTGGGAGACCCGATTTTAGGAACCGATTTCCCTGAAAACAAGGTGGAAAGAAAATGATTAGTATTCCATGAAGTGAGGTAGCTATGAAGAGGCTGGGCCTGGAAGTCAGAGACCTGGGTTCTAATCCTGGCTCTGCCACAAATTCATAGTGTTGCTGGTGGTGGGAGATTTTCTCTCCCTGGGCCTTGGCCTCCACATCTGTAAAATGGACACAACAATCCCCTGTGATGGCCCAGCTCTGACATTCTGAGTCACACAACCTGGCTTCCGACCCTACTAGCTGTGTAACCTTAGACAAGTCACTTTCTTCCTCTGAGCCTCCGTTTCCTCACCTATGAAATGGAGATGATAATAATAATAATATCTGCTTACCTCCCTCCCAGGGCTGTTGTGAAGGGGGAAAGGAGGAACACAGAAGTGAAAAGGCTTTGTAGACGATACATCTCCCTGAACATGTGAGCAAGTTGAAGATATCCATCCCTCCCAGTCCCTACTCAGCTCCTAGATATAAAAGTTCTGGCTGTCCTACAGCTTCCCTTCCACAAGCTGCGGAAACACATGTGTCCTTCCCTACCGTACAGATGGCAACCCTAAAAACAGCAGCTATGTCCTGGGGACCAAATGTGCCAGGCCCAGGTTTGCATATGCTAAATCCTCACAATGTCTTTGCATTTCTTCCCTGTCAAGAGATAAGGAAACTGAGGCCTGAGCAGGTTAAGTCACTTGTCCAAGATCCCACAGCCAGAGGCAGGCGGGACTGGTTAAAGAAGTCACCTGCCTTCTTGAGTATAATCATTTCCTCTTTCCACTGACTTGGGAAGTCCCAAAGGTGCTGCCAGGGTGTGTCTACGTAGGCTTCCGGCCACCTCCTCAGAGCTGCTCTCTGTGAAACCTCTTCCTCCCCGACCTCCACCATGCCCTGGTTATCCCCGCCGGCTGGCCACTGCCTCCTGCTCAGGTGGCCGACAAGTCCCTCCCCAGCCTGATCTTACTAAAATAAGATCTGGCCTCACCACTTCTCTGTTTAAAGCCTTTATGGGGCTCCCCACTGCCTAGACGACATCCACACTCTTTAGCCTGAATCCTCCTCCTGTCTCCCCACTGCCTCCCAGACAAAGCCCAGATTCTACAGCTCTGCATTCAAGGCCCCTTGCTCTCTGGTGATTTGGGGTGCGCCCATGTTTGAGAACCACAAACACAGGGCACCGAGGTCCCAGGGAAGGCTGCCGACTTGCTCAATCTCACACCGAGCCCCAGGTGGGGCTGGGAAGACGCGTCTCCAGCAGCATTTACTCCAACTGGTTAAACTGTCTCTGAACAAAACCAGTTGTTACCGTGGGACCTAGCTTTTCAAACGCAAGCTTTAGGACTAGAACAAAAATAGTAAGACCTAAATTTGCATGGCACCACACAGATTTATTTAATTTTCACGACAATCTGTTGATAGAATTACTTATATTTTATTTTTTAGCATATTGAGACTCAGATAGGCGAAAGGACTTGTCCCAAGTCAAACAGCCAGTAAGAGTCAAACCTGGTGCCGGTTTCACCATCCTGCCTTCCAGCTAGGGCAGAACTACTTAAACACCGCCCCAGCCCCTAGGGTCGCACCAGGGGCAGATGGCTCAGTTCCTGCACAGGCAGGAACAAAGGGGTGATCACTCCGATTTCCCCAGCGTGGGGGAGACCTTGGGAAAGCACAAAAATAACAATAAGGCTAAATGGGGAAGATTATGGGTGGCTTTTTCCTTGTGTTTTCCGTACTGTCACTGACATATTATTCATTAAATAAACCTATCTTA